TCTACCTCCAGCCCCCCTCCCTCCCCCACCTCCCTGAGCCTCAGCCCCCCCCATCTCCCGCCCCCACCTCCCTGAGCCTCAGTCTCCCCCCAGGTGCCTAGTGGTGATTCCACCTCACAGCCCGCCCCCCCCAGGTCATTATAGAGGGGGAAGGGGCTTGTCCCTCCTCATAACACAGTGAGCAAGGGCCAGCACCCAGGAGTCCTGACCCCCGTCCACCCCAAGGTGAGGGGTGTGGCTGCGGCCCCAGGCCGGGCCCCTCACCGCTTGCTGTGTGGCGACAGCTTCTGGGGCACGTTCCTCTTCTTGATGAGCTTCTCCACCGTGTTGCCGTGCAGGAGACTGCGTGATGCATGCGGCTTGAACAGCCCCGGGTACTTCTTCTCCAGCGCCTGCTCCCGCCTGCCAGGGAGAGAGAGTCAGGCCTGCCCGGGCACTGCCCCCGTCAGACTCAGCCCCGGCCCGGGCACTGCCCCCATCGGACTCAGCCCCACCTGGGCACTGCCCCCGTCAGACTCAGCTGTGCCCGAACACTGTCCCTGTTAGACTCAGCCCTGCCCGGGCACTGCCCCCCCCCGTCAGACTCAGCCCCGTCCCAGACACTGCCCCCGTCACACTCAGCCCCGGCCTGGGCACTGCCCCCGTCAGACTCAGCCGTGGCCTGGGCACTGCACCCTCCCCGCCATTGCCCAGATCAGACTAATGCTCCTTCGCCCTCATGTTCCAAGGCATAAAGTTGTCCCTCTCCAAGGTCAGGAAGGAATTGGCCCGAGGACTGTTTTGGGGATGGGGGTGGGAGGGGAGCATTTACTCCTTCCTCCCACACCTGCAGGGGCCAGACCCTCAGCTGGTGTAAATCAGTAGAAGCTCCACTGAGTTCATAGGACTCAGCAGGTGGGAGCTCATGGGGGGGAATCCCCAAGAGCCAGCCCTTCGGGGACCATGCATGTGTGTTGGGGGATCAGGCGATCCCTGGGGGGGCAGAGATTGGAGAGCTGAACCCCCCCTTTGGGATGGGAATCAGGGGCTGGATCCCCCAGGGGGGCAGTGATGAGGGGTTGGAGCCCTCTGGTGGTTGGATATGGGGGGTTTGGACCCTGGACTCCACAGCGGGTTAAGCTGGGCTCCACATGGGGGCAGCGATAGGAGGGGCTGGATCCCCACCGGGGGCAGTAATGGGGGGGCTAGATCCCCACAGGGGGTGCTGATTGGGGGCTGGATCCCAGTGTGGGCGGTGATGGGGGGTTGGATTTCCCCAGAGGGTAGATCCCCGCAAGAGGTGGTGATGGGGGGCTGGCCCTCCATGGGGCAATGATGAGGAGGAGCTGGATCTCCCAGGTGGGCAGTGATAGGGGGCTGGATCCCCACAGGATGCGGTGATGGGGGGGCTGGATCTCCCAGGGGGCGGTGCTGAGGGGCTTGATTCCCCACAGGAGGTGGTGATCAGCAGGCTGGGCCCCTCAGGGGGCAGTGTTGAGGGGGAGCTGGATCCCCACAGTGGGCAGTGATGAAGGGGCTGGATCCCCACAGAAGGTGGCGATGGGGGGCTGGACCTCCACAAGAGGCAGTGATGGGGGGCAGGATCCCTGCAGGAGGTGGTGATGGGGAGCTGGATCTCCCAGGGAGCGGTGATGGGCAGGCTGGGCCCCCCAGATCAGCAGTAACGGGGGGCTGGATCCCTGAGGGGGCAGTGATGGGCGGGGGGCTGGATCCGTGCAGGAGGTGGTGATGGGCAGGCTGGCCTCTCCTGGGGGGCAGTCATAGGGGGCTGGATCCCTGAGGGGCCAGTGATGGGGGGCTGGACCCCCCAGGCTGGGGGCTGCCCTCACCTGAGCAGCTCCTTCTCCTTCAGCTCCAGCTGCAGCATGAGGGAGTTGAGCTCCATGTACAGGTTGTTGGCCCGCTCCAGCTTGCGCTCGTAGTGCTCCCGGATGTCCAGTGCATGCCTGGGAGGGGGGGGCAGGGAAGCTGTCAATCACACAGCTGGAGGTGGGGGCCAAAGATCCCCCTCCCCCATCAGAATGGGACGTCACCCCCTCCCCTCCGAGGACCCCTGCCCTGTGCCTTCCCGAGCCCTGCCCTGCCCCCTGATCTGAACAGGACATCCCCTGCCATGGAGATCCCTGCCCCACCCCCACCCACCATCCCAGTGGGATGCCCCCTGCCCCGGCCCCCCTGACCGGAGCTCATCACGGCGCCGGTTGATCAGCTCCTCCTCCAGCCGGTGCAGACACGTCCCCTCCGACTTGATCTTCTCAAAGTGCAGCTTCACCTCCTCGCGCCACTCGGCCTGCAGGGGGCGACACGGGCCTCAGCACCGGTCCCACGACAGGGACCCTCTGCCACGGGGCCAAGCAGGCACCCCCTGCAGGACACCTCGGGGGGGGGGAGGGAGTCGGGGCGGGGGTCAGCTCTTTCATTGCTGCTCCAGCCCCGGCCTGGGTCTGCCCTGGGGGCTTCAATAAGCCACGGGGGGGGGGGGGGAGGGAGGAGGGGGGAATATGAGTCTACAACTAAACCTCCAAACAGCACCCCCTGCTGGGGCACTGGGGGCAGCACTGACTGCGAGGGGAGAGTGCGGCTGGAAGGAGGAGCAGGGGGGACTGGGCGGGTGCATGAGGGGCTGGAAGAGGGAGCGGGGGGATGGAAGGGTGTATGGTGGGGGGCTGGGCGGGTGCATGGGGGGCTGGAATGGGGAATGGGTGGAGGACTGGGTGGGTGCATGGGAGCTGGAAGGAGGAGCAGTGGGGGGCTGGGCGGGTGCATGGGGGGCTGGAAGGGGGAGCAGTGGGGGACTGGGTGGGTGCATGGGGGATGGAAGGGGGAGCAGGGAGGGACTGGGTGGTGCATGGGGAGCTGGAAGGAGGAGCGGGGGGCTGGAAGGGGGAGCAGTGGGGGACTGGGCAGGTGCATGGACCGCTCGAAGGAGGAGCGGTGTGGGGCTGGGCGGTGCATGGGGGGCTGGAAGGAGGAGTGGGGGGCTGGAAGGGGGAACAGGGGGGACTGGGCGGTGCATGGGGGGTTGGAATGGGGAGCAGTGGGGGGCTGGGTGGTGCATGGGGGGCTAGAAGGGGGAGCGGTGGGGGACTGGGCGATGCATGGGGGCTGCAGTGGGGGACGCACCTGGGATTTGAAGTAGGTCTCCTGGGGCGTGGAGAGCACATCTGCCGAGGCGATGTCCAGGTGCAGCAGGATCTGGCGGAAGGACGGCCGGTTGCGGGGTTTGCTGTTCCTGGGGGGCAGAGGCAGGGTTGGGTCCTGGGGCGGGCAAGGGACCCCCAGCAAGGAGCCCTCTGGCTCACGTGGGGTGATAGGGCAGCTGGCTTACAGGGGATGGAGCTGAGACCCAGCAAACTCCTGGCATGTGGCACTGGCCGGGGAGGAGGGGACAGCTGAAGGAAGGACGCGGGGGGGGGGGCATTCAACTGCTCCACTCTGGGCTGACTCTGCACCTGGCCCACATGGTAATGGGGGGGCAGCACTGGGGGGCTCAGCCTGGGAGGGTGAACCACGGGGGTCCTGCCTCCTGCCAGCTTGGGGCCTGGGACCAGGCTCACCAGTACCAGGGGGGCTATTGTGGAGGATGCTGGAAGGGGACTTATCAGCACTGGGGGGGCACTCCCCAGCGCTCAGGGGGGTCACTGGGGGGTCAGGAGAACTCACCAGCACTGGGGGGGGGGTCACTGGGAGGGACTCACCAGCACACAGGGTCACAGGGACTCACCAGCACTGGGGGTCAGGGGGCACTCACCAGTGCTGGGGGGTTGCTGGAGGGGTTGAGGGGCACTCACCAGCACTGGGGGTTGCTAGGGCAGTCACTAGCACTGGGAGGGACTGGGGGTCAGGTTGGATTCACCAGCACTGGGGAGTCGCTGGGAGGCATGCACCAGCACTGGGGGTCACTGGGGGTCACTCAACAGCACTGGAAGGTTATTGGGGGGGTCACACTGGGGACACTCACAAGCACTGGAAGGTCATTGGGGTCACTGGGGACACTCACCAGCACTGGAAGGTCTTTGGGGAGTTACTGGGGGCACTCAGCAGCAATGGAAGGTCATTGGGGGGTCACACTGGGGACACTCACCAGCACTGGGAGGTCATTGGGGGTCACTGGGGACACTCACCAGCACTGGAAGGTTATTGGAGGGTTACAGGGGGCACTCACCAGCACTGGAAGGTTATTGGAGGGTTACTGGGGGCACTCAGCAGCACTGGAAGGTCATTGGGGGTCACTGGGGGCACTCAGCAGCACTGGAAGGTCATTGGAGGGTTACTGGGGACACTCACCAGCACTGGAAGGTTATTGGAGGGTTACAGGGGGCACTCAGCAGCACTGGAAGGTCATTGGGGGTCACTGGGGGCACTCACCAGCACTGGAAGGTCATTGGAGGGTTACTGGGGGCACTCACCAGCACTGGAAGGTCATTGGGGGTTACAGGGGGCACTCACCAGCACTGGAAGGTCATTGGGGGTCACTGGGGGCACTCACCAGCACTGGAAGGTCATTGGGGGTCACTGGGGGCACTCACCAG